ATTAGTTCTACTCAAATGAGTATCAAGCTTCTAGAACCAAGTGCCTTCCCACACAAAAGAGTTCCATGGTCTCTTAAATAAACAATTGTGCCGTAACGGCGTCCTATCAACCACACTGTATCGTGAAGTATCATGGGTATTAAACGCATAAAAGAACAAGTAATTTCACTTTGAATTCAGTCGAGTAATTTTTCGTACTGCTGACAACCATGAAGCTCTCGTTGACTCTTCTCGTGATCTTTGGTCTCGTTGCCTTCATTGGAGCTGCTCCAGCTGAAGAAGACTCCGAAATTCCAGAAGAACCAAAAACTGAAGATGTCCCAGAACAAGAGGAAGAAACCCCAGGTGAGAATAATAAATTATTTTCGTAAGTATTTGATTTAGGGGTTTAAACTTATATCTTCTCCAATTGACTTGTAGAACAAGCTGACGAGGAAGATGAAGAGGACGATGATCAAGGTATTCATCAAACAAATTTTTCAAGAGATTGTAAGATCAATCATCAGTATATTATTTTCCATTTTTAATGTCTGATATTTTTTTGTCCTTTCTTGGTCGTTACTCTGATTTTGAGCCCCTGCCACACCCTCTTTGTGTTCCATATGCTTGGTATAATGACTGATGTTTTTTTCGTTCATCTATAGGTTCACCCCTGGCGAATTTAGAAGTTGATGATGACGATGATGATCTTGAAGGTAACTACACTATRATAWTACATAAAGTGTTTGTACTTCGGTATTGGTCACTCTGATCACTCATATATATTGTTATGATAAGAGATATGTACTGCTGCCGTCCTTAGCAATATCAAATTTTAGTTTTTTCACCAAGTTCTATTTTTTTCATATAAACTTGTGTTTATTAGGTTGGATTTTTTTTTAAATGAGCTTGTGTTTGTTACAGATCCAAAAAGGGGAGGACGCCGCARAAAGCCCCTTGGAATATGCCCTCTTCCTTACAGGGCCCATCGACACTGCAAGGGAAGAAGAGGTAGACGTGTATGTAAGAAATGCTGTGTCTTTTGCAAGAAGCTGTTCAAATGGTGCCATCCACTCAGAAGATTTTGCTTCTTTAAAAGAGTCTGCCGACGTCGGCGCATTGGCCGCTATCGTCGTTTCGTCTGTAGATACAGSCGTATTTGCATTCGCGCTCAGTCCGCTTGTGCCATAGCACATCGTTGTTTTGTATTGAAGTGTAGAAGAGCCTAGGTCTTGAAAGGAAAAATACTCAACATGGAACGACCGCACGATTGACCAGATCTTTAATAACAATTAGAATAGCACTCGGACAGTAMCTTAGTAAAGAAGGCAGCTTTTTATTCYCAKTTGCGTCTACAGAAACCTTTTTTGTTATGTGACATCGCGCTGCCTTATAATTAATTACAATATCATGTAGTAATTGAATCATTGGCAATAAAATTCATTTAAATCTGAAATATGACTGAATGACTGTGTTCTGAATTGATGCTATATATATCATAATACAAACAAGATATAATCAAAATGTTAAAAAGAAGTTTTCGAGGAAAATTGAATTTATAGGCTTTTAAGGAATATAGCGTCCAAAGGTGAGCATGACTGAAAATAAAAGTAATTTTTCTTCGGCACTTTACATAATGAATTTCTGTAGAAATAATCAACTAATGTCATTAACTTTTTTGATTATTTGGCTCATTTTTGAACCCCACCTCTGATAAATATTGCGCARTCCCTTAGAATTAAAGTGATATCTTTGTGCCCGAAGGATAATTTTACTTTTACTTTAACAATATCGATTTCGAAGTTTTGCAAACTTTCACGGTTCTAAAATCAAAGTATTCCTTTTAACAATTTAATATTTATGGAATTACAATTGTTATTTCTGCTTGTTTCATTCTTGAGACACTTATCATTATAAAGAATAAATTAAAAAACACTTCAATAATACTAACTCCGTGCCTAATGCCTAAGAAAAAAATAAGTGCAATATTTTATAATCTTTATCATAACATTTAGCTTGAATTGCAGACCACTTCAAAAGTAGCGACACTGTGTCTAATTGTCTACAATTTGAAAAGGTATCTAGAACAGTCATCGATCCTTTTGAGAATCAATGGAGGGTGGACGATATTTCAAACCAGCGAGCTCCATTTAATAGAATCCGCACTCCAAAGAACATCGATTTTATTTCTATACATCAGTTTAACTTATATAACCAACGCATCCTTCGTATTTTATTTCAATAAAGTTTAAAGAATAATTGGTTTTRAAATCTTCGAGGCAACGCCCTTAATATTTATACACACGCCATCGATCACACGATTGTATTTAAAACAAACATGTACTCAATTGAAAACTTGCTATAATTTCCTTTTTCGAAGTAACTATACTTTTTTAAGGGATTTAAAAGGTTTGAAGTCAAGCTTTATAGTTTATTCGCAATAACGTTAATTTCAAAGGGAACACAGACGGATTTTAGCAGTACAAATGAAGCTATTTATTGCCTGCGTTCAGCCGAACCAAAACTGTCGTTGTATTGCTGAAAGCAGGCAATCTAAGTAAAACACTCCACGGATTTCTGACGGGGGATATAATTGTTTATCGTCTCGTAGAATACTTTTAGTTAKATCCAATGTAAGCATATAATTTAAGTAATGTAAACATAAAATAAATTAAACATTTCCAGTCCGTTGTTGTTTATATTTTCATTGCGTGCTTTAATCCAAAAGACCTGATCCTGAGGTCAATAGCTGTGCAATAGCCGTGTAGAAACCCTTATGACTAAGCAATTTTTATTCTTATTTTTATCAAGAATAACGTAACATTTTTTTCGCTTTTAATGATTTTTATATTGAAATTAACTTTTATTGTGTAGCAAAAAAGCAAAGGAAATGATACTAAAAACTATCAGTGTACTGCAATGCCTGTGCACTTTAAAGTAACCAGTGCTTTGACAAGTGTAATGGTGCATAGATGGAATGGATAATAGGTATATTTACAAACCTTCTTACATATCAAATACAGTAATACATTCATTGTGGAAAAATACAAAATAATATTTATTGGAATAGCATGGATGGCCGAGTGGTGAGAGCACTGGCAACTGTTTGCGTTGTTGGATTCAATCGGAATTGTTGACAATTGTTAAGCAGCGTTGTCTAACATCCGGGTTTTCGTTCTCYGGAAGCCGGGGTACTCGTGTATAACAAATGTTGGATTAAGMAGCGTTGTCTAACATCCRGGTTTTTGTTCTCCGGGAGCCGGGTACTCGCGTATAACAAATGTTGGATTGAATGGGAATTGTTGTCCTGTTGTCTACCATGCGGGTTTTTTTCTCTCTCCGGGAGCCGGGTACTCGTGTATATCATATCGGACTTGAATTAGAATTGCTGTACCATGCGGGATTTTTTTTCTCCGGGAGCAGGGTACCCGGGTTTTCAGCCTTAGCAAAATTCAATATGCATAGAACTAAACTAATAACAACTCAGCTAGCCTGGGAACGCTGGATAGCAATAACATAGTGAAAAACATTCACTGAATGTTTTTCACTATGTTATTGCTATTCAGCGTTCCCAAATTGTCTAAGATTTGCATACGTATGACCTAGAAYAGTCATCGCACGTCCATTTCGGGTTCAATGGAGGACGGAGAACTTGAAAATAAGTCAAGCCAGCGAGCACGATTTAGTGAAATTACGTACTCTAAAACGATCTATTTTATTTTATACTTTCTTAACACGAAGCCTATCATCTTTCCTATTATTTTTCGACCATTTTTCGACTGACTTTTTTGCTCAGGATCRTTTCTTTTAAATCCTTAAAGAGCCAACGCCTATATTATATAAACATTGATTACATAACTATATCAAATAATCACCCCAATGTTCTATAACTTAATGTAAATCGAGTCATTTTTAAAGAAATTTAGCAAATTTGAAGGGAAGTTCTTGAAGATCGCTCGTTCATAATAACATTTATTTAAAGAGCATAAATAAGGATTAAATAAGCTCAGTAATCTATGCATATTGATTCGTCTCTGAATAAACCGTTTGYATTAGTAATATTGTACTAAAAATGTATGTTCGCAAGAGCAGCTTAATGTCCTTTAAACTGTATTTTTCCTTATTTTATCGAGATGTTTTTTCTGTTTATTTGTGATCTCATGTTGCGGCTAAACTATTTTCCTTAAGGGCATTGTTATGGTCTGTGCAGGTCAATATTATAATTGTACGTGGGTGCTTAGATAGTCCCAAGTCACCCGATAATCATTAGATTTAGTCTACTGATTCACAATAGATTGAAGATAAGTGCCCTTCACATMGGGTGCCTTTCGCTAAATGGCTTACTCAATGCGCCGTAACGGCGTCCTAACAACCACACCGTCATCGTGAAGTATCATGGGTATTAATCGCATAAAAGAACAAGTAATTTCACATTGAATTCAGTCGAGTAATTTTCGTACTGCTGACAACCATGAAGCTCTCGTTGACTCTTCTCGTGATCTTTGGTYTCGTTGCYTTCATTGGAGCTGCTCCAGTTGAAGACGAACCAGAAGYTCCCGAGCYATCTGAAGCCGATGCCCCAGTAAMAGATGATRCCCCAGGTAAGCCTTTTAAATAACTTTCGTGATTTTTTGATGTTGGAATTCAAACTCAGAAGTTCATGTCCTATTGTCTTATAGAAGACGAAGAAGCCCAAGATGAAGACGACATTACTGATGATGAYGCCAGTAACGAAGATGACGAGGAAGGTAAACTCTCATCTATTTAATCTAGCTGCATTTCTTTTCATGACGGTTTATATTAATTTCGTTTAATTAACTGCGGATAAAGTCACAAGAGTTTATCTGGCAACGCCCAACAGTGCTCGATATCCGCGCAGTGTTGTGATTTAAAAGTACTTTTAAATTATACTTTTTTACATCTTATCGAATAAAAAAAACGTGATATTCTCTTACATATATTGAATATTTGCAGATGAGGTAAACCCAATGGGAAAGCCCGATGAAGGTATTTATCCATTATATATATTTTTTYCATTATTTCATTACTGAGATTTGACGTTTTAAAGTGTTACTTGCATGAAAATGCCCTTATTTCAAAACTTCAATCAATACAAATATATGACTCATTTAAAAACAATTACGGGAGAATGTTTGTTTTGGAATTATCCCACATCAGAGAAATTTTGATTCAAAACATGGAAGAAAAAAGAATGAGGAGTAAATGACTTCAGTTTTTGCCCAAAGCATTAAGGATTTGTATCAATATCTTCTTGAAATCTGTTGCTTGATGATTATTAGACCCATATGGATAGGTCTATTTGATTTCCAATTCTTTTCTAATGTTTCGCAATTTTTGTCCAAGTAGCCCTTTAATGTCTGCTATTTTAATTTTTAAGATCCAAAAAAGGCGCGTCCCCGTCGTCGTCGAGGATGTTGCAAGTTCCCATTCAAAAGTGTATTTGGCTGTTACAGGGGTAGATGTTACCGCTGCTGCTCGGCTTGTAAGCACAAAGTCGCTTTCTGCAGGAGATCAAAAGGGTTTTGCCTATTCCTACGCCGTTGCCGTAAATTTGGTAAAAAACTCAAGTGCATCTTCCTTCGCAGATGCTACCCTGCCAAATACAAATGTTTTTCTGTGCTTGGTTGTCTGAACAGAAAGTGTCGCTTTGTTCGAAAAGGTTAAATTCCTCCAGAGAATACTGGCAGTAACGGCTGATAACGGAAACAAAATTCAATGCACAATCATATTGKCAAGAGAACTTTAGATTTGATTATAATAATCGAGTTAGAACTCCAAAGATTGTAACTTGTTTTCGATAATTAACTCGTATTCGTTTTCTACTCTTACTCGTATTTTTACGCGTACTTGTATTTGTTACTCGCACTTTAACTCGTACTTGAWATTGTAMCTCGTACTCGTAATCACATTTGAAGCTCTCTTTTATGCAGTAATCATGTATATTCTTATTCATGAATACCAATCAATTTGTAAAGGAAACTTCCCTCATTTGATACAACTCCTTAGCCCTGTAACTAATGAATGTTCGAGAATAAAACTTGAATGAAACTCAGTGTTAAAAATGTGAAAATATTACTGCAATTTCTATTACGGTATCTTAGTCAATGATGTTTTATTTGTAAAAAGATATCTATAGATTTTGAAAAGAATGCTTTAAATTCCACCGAAAACCAATATTTGGTCGATAAGTCGCTTTTGGATTGTAATATTCAAGTACACACGCACGGATGACAAAATTCAACCTTACGTAAGCTCTGATTACGTATTTTCTGTGCGCGCGGACTAGGCTTTATGTGGTATTTGCGATACGTTTTCTGCGTCCACTACATTTTCCATGTGCCTTGCGTATTTTCTGTGCGCGCTGACTACGTTTTCTGTGGAATTTGCGATACTTTTGCATAGGCCGCCCAACTATTGCTTGAGAAAAAAAAAAAAGAACGAATGCGCACGCTAATTTCATGTAATTAGCGCACGCGCTTTGTGGATTACCTATGTGGTATTACGTCATAAATGATCCCTTGGAATCAAAAACTATTTTGATCCCGCGAGGCAAGGGATCACTGACGTAATACCACAGGTAACCCGCATTTAGCTAAGAGTGCGCGCCGATAAGTACCAGTGTAGAAGCGTGCGCATTCGTTCTTTTCTTTCTCTGGAGCAATAGTTGTGTGGCCTATGACTTTTGTTGYGTCCCATACATTTTCYATGTGCCTTGCAATCAGCCTACCGAGCAAATCACTCCCACAGAATGCGTTATGCAGACTTCACAACGATATCAATTCAATTCAATTTTATTTTACAAACATATATACTTATTTTACAATTAGGAATACAGCCTTTTGCAAAAATCATGAGAATTGTCTAAATATCTAAATATCATAATATCCATATCCATATATTGCCTGGAACACGAGGGTTTGCTAGAATAATTCATTGTTGACATCGAGAAAATGTTCAGAACTACGGATAAGTCTGTCTCCAAAAAAAACAACTAAACTACAAAGACAAGGGACTAAGGGCATCGCGCAGGATTACCCATCATGCACTCGATATTATGATATTTAGATATTTCAACAATTCTCATAATTTTTGCAAAAGGCTGTATAATAATATGTCTTATAATGATAATAATATGTCTTTATTGATGATAAGAAGAACGTACACTTCTTAAATTACATTCTTAAGTTAGAAAAAAGTGAARGTTACAACTTACTGACATCATATTTAAATAGTAATCTGTTGAAAAAAGTGTTCATAAATCGAGAAGTATATATTTTAGGTTTAGCTGCTGCAGAGTATCTTAAGTTATATCTAGTTGATTTAGGCTTAGGTATTAAACTGTAGAGCGGATGACTTTCAGTAGAGGCTGCCTTCTTATAGAGCCGAATGTCCTGTTGTTCTAAGATCTTGTTTATGTCTAATCTGATGGATATATATTTACGTTTAAAGCAGCGATCAAGAAAGGCCTGTATTGTTCATCTATTAAAGATAATTATTCCTATTTGGGATATTGATATCTAGTGTTTTCTTATGATATGATTTTATAATCATGTAATGAGTTTTTTTCAAARTTTACTGYGAGTTTATTARCTGAACAGTAATCAAGCAAGCTTTTGAATTCAGTATTCATAACCAMGTTTAATTYGTTGGTGCTTTTAGAAGAGAAAAAGGCAGTAGTGTCATCGGCAAATGATCTGAAGGAAAGTTTATCAGAACAATTATATATGTCATTAATGTATAGTAGAAATAGAAGGGGTCTTATCATCGCTCGATCGAAACGAGTTCTATTAGTATCACTAGATTTGTCCGCTGCTTTTGATACGATCGATCACCAAATCCTGTTAGCTTGACTAAAACATCGTTTTGGAATTACTGACAAGTGTCTACAATGGATTCGCTCGTATCTATTGGGAAGGAAGTTAAGAGTTGCTATTAATGGCTCTCTTTCTGACTCCAAAGATATCGATTTTGGTGTACCCCAGGTCTCTGTACTTGGCCCGGAGCTGTTCACAATGTATSTACAATCCTGGACAAAACTGTTGAGACATTTCTTAAAATAGGTTGAATTTCGATGATATATGCGCGTATTTCTGTGCAAATCTCCCCCTTTCCCCCTCAATTCAATGTTGAAAGGACTGAACAATCATGCACACCCTTCTAGGGGGTGGGAGGATCAAAATCAGTGATTTTTTAGAGATAGGAGAGTCTTTATACCTGATAAAACACGATCTCGAGTGTTTTAATGACTTCAAAAACTCCAACACTAATTTGAAACTCAAATCCATTTKTTGAGATAAATGRTGCAAACTGATCATGCGCGAATCACTTTACAAAGCACTGCATGTTGTCATCCCACATTGAATATGCAGTGTATATATATAGAAGTGCTGATGGCTGATGTGACCAAATAGGCTCATTGTATTGGCCCAATAACTCATGAATTATGTATGAGTTTTTTTAAAGCTTGTTACTACACTGATCTATGACTGTCACTTTTCGTATTTAGATGATCAATATGAGACAAGTGGACATATTCATCACGGCATTATTTCTGCTATCTTCAATCTATACACAAAATATATCTGGTTGTGAAATGTTCCGYTTCGATTCCACCAATGGCCAGGCTTTGGAAGATCACGTGATTACGACCATTACCGAGTCAATTGTAAGTTTGTGCTGGAGTGATTGTGTTTGGTCGACGCCATTGTGTTTTTCAATAAATGTCCGANATGGGACATGCTTGCTTTTATCCTACATCATTGTTTTTGTGGGGAAGGGGAGTAGACAAACGTTTTACTGAAATAATGCTGGATTCCCAATGATTCTCAAAATTTGCCTAATTTTCTCAACTATTTTGTACAAGATTGTAGCTTCACCCTAGACTCTGGTTCAAATTAGGTTAGCGTTAGGTCTGAGGATGACTCATAGACTGTTCTGTAACAGTCTGTAACACTATAATACTTTAAGTACCTGTCGTTGCCTTCATGTCTTTATACGTTATTATTGTCTCTAGGAGGTCAACAATGCTCAGTGCAAGATCTATGACTGCAACATTAAAGAAGGTAGGTAAATCAGTTTTTTTTTTTTACTGTCAACAACGAAAACATGCGAAATAAACAGATAAAAACAGAAACAGAAACAGAAACGGAATAAAATGAAACAAAATAAAACAATAGCAAAGAAAAATATGAAACACGGAAAACAAGAAAGCCAGAAAACTTATGAAAAAATAAAAATAAAAGAAGGTACGTAATCAGTTTTTAAATGTTAAAAAAATAAAACATGCGAAACAGAACWAAACGGTACAAAACGGAATAAAATGAAACAAAATAAAACAACAGCAAAGAAAAATATGAAACAAGGAAAAAAGAAAGCCAGAAACCTTATGAAAAAAACTAAAAATAACAGAAGGTATATACGTAATCAGTTTTTAAATGTTAAAAACTAAAACATGTGAAAGAGAACGGGATAAAATAAAACAAACTAAAACAATGACAAAGAAAAGTAAATGAAACAAGGAAAACAAGAACACCAGAAAACTTCTGAAAAATAATTAATGATAATACGGAAACTTTTTTGTTTAACTACAGATTTAGGAAATGGTTGGTTTCGTTATGGAGATGCTGCTATCAAACTCTTTAAAGAGAAGAAAACCTGGACCAATGCTCGTAGCGATTGTCAGTCATTAGGTGGTGATCTTCTCTCTATTACCAGCTCACATGARAATGACTTTGTSAACGATGTCTTTGTGGAGAAAATGAATCTAACTTATACTGCACAAGGTTATACATYCCATAATATAATTCATTAGTCCTAAAATACAATCTTATATTAACACTAATTAAAGGCGTCATTTCAAAATTATTATATGTAATAGGACTCCATGCTGTCCAATTATTTGCTGTCCAATTAAGAAATAATTGGACGAGGAAAATTCCGAGGACTGCCAAAAATTGGACGAGGCCGTGGCCGAGTCCAATTTGGCAGTCAGAGGAATTTTTCGAGTCTAATTATTTCTTAATTGGGCAGCATGGAGTCTTATTACCTATTAATTATATAGYCACATATTGATCCCAAATAGGTAAAAGCCAACCACAGCTTTTAACAAAAACCCAATTGAAAACCTGTCCAATTAATTTCTTGATTGGACAGGATTCCAAAATTAACGAAAAATCCAGCTTTTACCTATTTGGGATTAATATGTGGCTATATAATTACTGTAGTAATCAGGAATGATGTCAAATWTAGCAATCTACGTAACGAAGTCGTTTTTTTCCAACACAGGATAGGAAATCAATTTATTGTTCTTTTTCTTTGAGAATTATAATTTTATTCGAATTAGCGATACAGCACTCTGATAAAAGCTTAGTACATAGCCAAGWAGAGCGCAYGTYCTAAAAGTTCTAARATATCATATCATTTTCCGAAATGTCGWATTTTYATCGAARCAGTRGGRATGGGTATGGCCAATCAGAGCTCGCGAAATATTAAATCGCGTCATACCGCTCTCGACCAATTAAAAAGCGCGTAGTATATCAATTATTTTGTAAAACTAACAATAGTAAGGTTTTTCTGTTTTTCTTATTGTAGACATTAGTGAGGCATCCCATAGACCTTCTGTGCACTATAAACTCAACGGCGAAGAACCAGACGTTAAACTTATGGGACCTTCAGGCGATGCTACTTTCCGGGTTGAAGGGAGAGAGAAGGCTTTATACCTGAATGGACGCAATGGCTTTGCGCAAATTCCAAGCCTATCTGTCCAAAGTGGAATTTTCATTTCATTTTGGGCAAAGGTTTTGAACACTACAGAGGCCTGGTCGACATTGCTRAATATYTACGACAACTCGACTTCGCAGTCGAAATTCATGGTATCAATTGACGGAMAAACGAACAATGTCTAYTGTTCTGTTGGCTTGAGCAATGGTAGTCTTAAGAAGATGCTGGCGCATAGCTTCCGCACAAATGTGTGGCAGTATTTTAGTGCAAGATTCATTTCATCAAAACAAAAGATTGACTTTGGATATCAAGGCACTTGGAGCAAGACAAAGGAATACGACGTGGGCGTCAGTTCTTTGAACTTCACTACAAGTGACAAGTTTGTTATTGGTTCTGATTCCTCGCAAAACGTGCACAGCAACAAGTCTTTTCATGGCTTYATGAAACATTTCGTTTTTGTGAAGTCTCCGATGATTGGGTATAAAATGCAGGCTGTCATGTGTAAGTGAATAAACATACATTGTCTAATCTAATAGAGTCATTTTCATCCGTCTGTGRAACAGTACTACTARTCAGTGTTTAATAGTAACTATTTAACAATTAGASSTCGAGTGGACTACGAGCTAATAGCCCATGAGGCCGAGTCSGCGAGGCCGAATGGGCTATTAGCTCGTAGTCCACGAGGCCGAGAGGTCTAATTGTTTTAGTATAAACATACTAATCGGTCCCCAATCGGTCATATAATGAAAACAAATTGAAATATCCTTAAAATATTTTATTAATGAGACTGATTTTCCCGCGAGTGGTCTATCACAAATTAGACCATTAGTAGAGTAGCCAATCACAGCGCAGTATGAGTGATARACCATTAGTATGTTTATACTATTAGGGTGTAGTAGGCTACCAACAAGCAAAGTCAAAACCGTGTCTGTCGCATGTCGTATTATAAGCCCGGGCGGGGAACTCCCTAATAAAAAAAGGTCGGGGGTCCTCGTCGGAAATTCTAAAAAWGACTTTTTAACTTTAATAACTTTTTCTATTTAAAGTTTAATTCAGTTTGACCTCCTAACGATGTCTCCTACCAATGATTCTTTATAAATACTAGATTGGCACGAGCAAGGAGTTTGGATTGGCCTCAACAATCAAACTGACACTTCCTACTTCAGTTGGTCTGACGGTACCCCCGTGGGGCAGTTTATGAACCTACCAGACTACACTCCAGAGCCCAACAAATCTGGAAGAAAGTGTGTTGCCATGGCAAAGGACAAGAAATGGTTGGATAAGCACTGTGATTTGAAGTAYCCATTCCTGTGCGAGAAACCTGTGCTGTAACCCGAGCGCCAGTTCTTTTTGATGCGACGGATTTRCAGTTGAAATGAAACGCTCGTACAAAAACGCATTTTACAAACAATTTACCAGGCCCGGACGTAAACCTAACTTTGAGTATCAATTTTTTCGACAGTGCAGCGATTTTACAATCAAGACAAGACAACCGTTGAGCTTGCAATGATAGAAACCTTCTTTCACAACTACAGACAATTATTTACAGGTATCTATCATTTCACGCTCAACGGTTGTCTCGCTTCGATGTAAAAGCACGGCTACCATTCAAGATATCGCAGAGAACCGTGAAGAAGACTTTTGTCCTATGGCACAATAACGTTACTGTATGTTTACATTGTGGGTGATGCTCAGAATGACCCGAAATTTTGATCTACTAATAATCTGTCTCTAAGTAGAACTTTAGTGTATCGAGTCTTGATGTACATCATGCCGGTACCAAGGATTTCTTATCTACATTTTATTTGATATGCAGTCACTATTATTCCCTTTGGCGACCATAATCCTTAGCGTTAAAATAATAAAATGTTTTCGTGTGACATAATTATGCGATACGATACGGCAATCGAGGTGCGATTCTAYCACAATTCCGAATCATGGCAACAGATCGCATATGTTTGTCGCTGAAAATCGCAGCAAATATCGCACGCAACCAACGACAAGTTTGCTAGTATAAAAGACATTATTGGAAGGGCATACACATTAGGACTTATTTACTCAAACTCTCGCTAGTTCAATTATTTCGTTGCTTGGGGTTACGTTTCTGGATTGTGATTCATGCAATTCTAGGTTTCAGAGCTCTCCCCTCTTCCTCSTTTTATGGAAAAATTAACAAGCGAGACCCAGAACAAGTCTATTCATATATTGAATGTGGTGTGAAAACTTATTTATCAAGCCATCAGGCTTCTAATTAAATTTCTTTTTCAAAATATTGAAAACAAGGACACGACCCCTGCGGATTTCATATCCTTGAAAATTCGAGGATGTTTTGACGRGAGGGCGTCTAATAATCATTTTACTCTGGAGTTTAGGAACCTTATCAAGGAAAACTGATTCAGTTTTGACATGTTGATTATAATTGATAGTACGTATAATTTTTTTTAAGATTCTTTAAATGACTACATGTATCCATGGCAGCACGGCTGCTTATAAGTTGTGAAGGCGGGAAAAAAWTGGAAACAATAGGATTTGTTTTTTTATTTTTGTTCTTTTTTCTAATTTTTCTGTATTGAAATGTGATTTCATGCACGCAATGATCCCTTAAAACTGAGAATAAAATTGAGAATAAAACAAAAATGAGAAGTGGATTGAATACAGTAAGAAAAGACTAAGAAATTTGTTGATTTACAGGTACAGACCTATATGTTGAGATTCAGCCTARAGATTTGGCTAAGAATTGGGTGTAAGAAACCAGGAGGAAGCTCACAATCTCCTTTAAAGGCCGAAACAGACGGTAAAACGTTTACCTACAACCATCGCATGCGACCTGCGTAAGTCATCATTACGAGATCACTGGAAAAAATCGCGCGCTTTTAAGGTTGTAAATTTGATGTAAATATGATGTAAGTGTCCAAAATTCTGTAAATTTGATGTAAATGATTTCCATTAAATTTACAGAATTTTGGACAATTAGATCATTTTTACATCAAATTTACAACCTTTAAAGCACGCGATTTTTTTCCACTCAGTCGATGCCTACAACTGTCGTGGGGTTATTAACCAATTGTTTAAAATCCCTACGACAGTTTTAGCCATGTTGTAAGGATGACTTAAGGCTGATTTACACGGTACGATTTGTCGCGCGCGACTTGTAGTATACGATTTTCCTACTACAAGTCGTAGGATTTTAAACAGTGGTTCAAAATCCTACTACAAGTCGTAGGTTGCGTACGACTGTTGTAGACAAGTCGTAGGGGCATTTACATTGCGCGATTCAAGTCGTATACTACAAATCGCACGAGACAATCGTGCCGTGTAAATCAGCCTTTACGAAGGTTGCGCGCAATGTCTGTAGGCAAAACTTATGTCGTCTAATTTTAATATCTTAAATATTACTCATACGAAGACTTTAAAAAGTGTATACTACACTAAAGTGTATCTCACGGGTCAAAGGAAGCTACACAAAGTTAAACATTGAAAGTTATTAAACTAGAAAAATTGTATACATTATTACAAAAATAATTTGTCCTCTAATGTTTAAAATGTCATTTTGTGCAATTTCTTACAGATTGTTTAACGTGAATAGAATATATATCTGATGACAAAACGGTCAAAACAAACAAATCACTGGAAGGCCTCAATTCAATTGAAACGAAAGTTTCGATATAGTCGATATCAACAGAAACGTTTGTTCGTCCCATAGGCAGTRGTCGCACCAACGATCTTTCATTAGGGAGCACTCACACGTGTCCGGATATTTTCCATGCGTTTAGGATTATCGGTTATACGAACAAGCAAAACCAGGGGCGGATCCAGCGATATTCAAAAGGGGCACTGTTGGCAAAAATGGAGAGAAATTTTCGCTGGAGCTGGAATTTGCCTACTTCATCAACTGAAAAAATGAAAATGAAAAATAAGCTGAGCGACAGTCAAATGTGCATATTGTTTTGAAGGTTATTTTATTTTTCGATCACTTCGTGGATATGACATATTTGAAAAGACCGAAGTTTTGAAAGCGATGATCTTTTTCGTCTAAACTCAAATAAGAAAATGCGGTTTAAAAGGTGTCCGGCTACGTGTGGACGGAACTAAAATCTGTMACAATAAAGAATGGTTTTCGCGAAGGACTTTTCAAGATCGCGACAACCTTGACCATCGTCAGTTCGAAGTAAATGTCTGTATTCAATAGAACTAACAGTGAGTTTATTTATTTGAATGAGTCAAATCATTAGTTTACAAGTCTATAGAAGCTTGCTTTTTAGATATCATTACTGAAAATAATTGTATGTTCATGAGTTAATTATCATTATAGTGTGGTGTAAAGCTCTCATTTTTTCCAATAAAGTTAGCCGTGTTCTTTTTCTTATTTTGTATTTTGATCAGTACGGTTTTTACAAGTCTAGKAGTTTGTAGATTTTGTCGATAAGACACGTGATCRCTGAGTGGACACAGGAAGCAGATAGCAGCTGACGGCATGGGATGATAAATTGTACACGGCTATTCTATTCAAAAGGGATTTTCTCGTTTTTCTAATTGTACAGCTTTGATAAAGGACAATACAAAGGTGGTTCAGGAAAAATCAGTCTGAATTCAAAGGAAATCATGCTGAAGATAATAAAAAAAGACGAAAGATCAGTTCTCACGAATGATGTCGCATATATACTGCTTGGCGTAACTGATCAAGAGCTCGKGATRAAGCGCGAGGTCTTTAAAAAGAATTTCACCGCGCGTTCGGAAAGTTTTTAAGCCTTTCCGTGCTTTCTTGTATTTTTGTTTTAAATTAAAACATCAAACAATTTAGTAGCCATTCTTTGTACGCCATAATTCCACAAGATATTAAAACATACATACTCAGTATGCTTTTAAAACAATTTTTTTATACTTACAAAAGCTGAAACTAGCATTTTTTACGAAATCAACYATTTCTTATAAACACYAAGACGTTAAAAGCATACTTTTTAAATAGTTAACGTCAARCTAAAAACTGTTTTTCTTCAATTTGTTTTTCATTTTAGAGAGAGGTTTATTAATTTTGCCTGGAGTGTGAATTGGTTAGGTTTTAACAAAGACAACATTACGCCAAAATCATWCAGATTATACTATTTTGCGATAATTTTGCGACAACACTTTYCCGTKTTCAGTTTTTATRTAATGATCTATATGAAACTTTTGAAAAGCCTTTTTACAAAAGTATATGTTTAAAAATCATTTTCTTAGATTTGTTATTTTTTTATTTGGTTTCCGTTAAATTCTTTTTAATTGAAAAAACACTACAGTAATAGCGATTATGAATATGATTTTGAATTTTTRGATGAGTAATGTTACGATTCTCACGCATCAACGCAAGTCTTTTTCTATTGAACCTCACTGTGCGATAAACCATTGAGGTATCCAGTCTAAAGAATGAATAGTCCAACCATATATTTAAGTACATCCTAGCATGGTCTTAACAGATTTAAATAAACTTAAATGATAATCAAAAAGAGCAAAACAAAGCGGAGAAACAAATACAGAATCGCCGACTACAAACTGTCGTTAGTTATCACAAAAAAGAAAACAAAGTAAGCTCGTCGTTGATTAGAGCTCTGATTTGCGATAGGCATCCGCGTTTATTTTCTACAGATCTTTAGATCAATTTAAGTTATTCAAAGTAACAGCCAACGTTAAGATAAAAAGGGAGAAAATTACTGAAATAGGCACTTTGGAACAAAGGCTCTATTTGGACAATTGACATCTTGTGTACGTGAATGGCCAATCAAATAGCTGGAATCTCCAGATGTTTTACACTCTTAATGGAACCGATGCGATTCTTTTTTGGCCTTAACCGGTGCCATATGCGGTGAAGTAGTGATTTCCCACCAAGTAGAGCTAAAAAGCGTGCTCTTTTGAGTCAAAACGCATAAGTTTGGAACCACSAAAAATACAACAACATCACCCTTATCACCGTACTAAAGTTGAACCGACGCTGWATAAATACAAACTGCTACGATATTCCGCTAAAGGACTCGAYCACTCTGTTTGGATATTTGGATCTCTATCTTTTGTCTAAAGAAAGTGGCTTCGGACACAAACTCAGGATTGAATTTTATAGAGGATTTCTGAAWAAAAATCCGAATTGTGCGGGTTAGACTTGCGGGATCAATTGAGGACACATTGTGGTCGTAATAACCTATCTCAGTGGTACCAAGAACTATCGTTAACCTGCTATTTTACAAAATACGGAACCCGTTGTTGGCAGAAATACCAGCTAGAGGTGTCGATTGGCCACTTTCCAGAATGGCTTTTCAGTTTGGAAGCACGACACGACTTCGGCATATGAACTATCCCGAAAATCAACCCCGCGTCTCCACGCAGTGGGACCAAACGGACAGAAATACTCTATCGCCGTTACATAAAAGCGCGGGGTTGACTCTCGAAGGGACTGATGAGAGCACTCTTAGAAGCCAAGAGCTTGATAAAGCGAACAGTTTAGTTGGAAATCATCGGAAAGACGGATTAACAGTGAATCTCTCCAACTACCGAGCCGACAACGCATCAGGAAAAATCGCTAACAAAAGTATAACAATACAGACGAATTATTCGACACACCATTTAATATCTCGGGGAATATCAACAACATCAACACACAACCCCGCGCAAGGCATAGAGATCGATGTTTTGGAGTCGTTTTCCGAGTTTGCAGCWTTTTTAGAGATTCAAAATCCAATTTGCCCGGCGGAACATTTAGACACGCCAGAGAAACTTATGAGCGTATTATCGTGGGATGTGTGGGTGCAATAGAAAAAAACTTACTGCAGGTGATAAAGTCAACAATGTGACGATGAAGATTTGAACATATTCAGGATATATATACCACTGTATTATAAGGACTATAGCATGCTTACATGCATTGCATTTTTAAGGTTTTATAGGCATATATTTATAGATAAAACGATTAGAATCATAGGGTACTGTTGGCTTGATCATTTTTCAAGATAATCGCGTTTATTGTAAAAAGCTGAGCACTTTATTAAAAAGTTATTAAACCCTAAAGAAAAAAATGCCTTATRTATGTTAATATCACAGTATGTCAGGTTCGCTTTCAAATAAAATGGGAATTCAGATTTAAAACATTGAAAAATAGTGATAATCAAACGTAATCGTTTATCGCTTAAACGCTTTGTTCTAAAACCGATTGTCGCCTACTGAAAAAATGCGTTTTTTTCGWATATATTTATTGAAAAAGATAGAAATGTTCTTCGATTATATCAGTTCCACATAACAAGATAGCTCTATTTTGATAAATATCGATTGTTTTAACATATTCCAAGACAGGAAATATACACAAACATGCAATTGAGTTCTTTTTGTGATATGCTGTGAAATGTTCTCAATGGGTTTCGTTGTTCTCTATGTTCGACACCTGTGGCAAAACAATCGCGTTCAGCGCCATCTCTTATTCAAAAACCATATCAACTTACTAATCTAGACCCTTCGCGAGAGAAATAATATTCAAGTAAGGAAGCAAACGGACTTCCGTTCCTTTTATCAGACAATAAAACGCATCGTTTTTTAGTCGTTTTCTGCCACTTAGAATGAAAATAACCCAGCGGTTATCGCTAAATATGGCGACACATTTGCGGGAAGGGTTTCCTTTAATGTAAACATCACAATGGTATATATGAGTCATCTATTTAGCTGTATTCATAATAACGTGCTTAGTGCCTGATTAAAACAATCTGGACACTCTACTTGCTATCTTATATAACGTGTTATGTAATTGGGGCTATAGCGCATTGTTATGATATCAAAGCGAAAACTCGACCCGAACGTTTTTTTGCTTTTTTTTTAATTTCCTGGAGAATATAACATTCAAAACGTTAACTTTTAAAAATCCCCAAAAACAGTTATAACAGATTATTTTATCGATGCGATTTTGTGGGGGGGGGAAATTGGCTTCTCGGCTCAAAACATATGTTTCCCGAATACTATAATGTTAAATTTAATCTCTTTACAACGCTGAAACCAGTTTTATATTAAAAAAAATATTTTATCAATGCGATGATTTMGTCGGAAAAACTCGGCCCACAACACACTTTTTACGAAGAATATAATGTTAAAGTTAACTTTTAAAATGCTGAAACCAAAATAGGGGGAAAAAAAAGATAATATGCGATTTTATAGGACAACTCGGCACGAAATATAAATTCCCAGTCAATTTTATTTGAAAAACGTTATAGAAAAAAAATATATATCAACAAAACACATTTTAAAAATATAGAAAAAAAAATATCAACAAAACACATTTTAGTCCCAAAAAATATAAGGCAATGATATTAACTTTTCAAAACGCTAAAAGCAGTTATAACAGAAAAATCATTGTCGCATAAATGCGATGTCATATAATAGAGTTTGTGCACTTTTTGAAATGATAGTGACTTGGTGCACGAGTTCAAATTTACGGATAATTAAAACGCTGAATACAGGAAATTTAAGAGAGGCTGTGAGACAGATTTTTACATTGACAGGAAGAAAGAATATTTTACAATTGGTCAAGTCGTAGAGTATTGTTATTATACTGTTGTTGTCCAATTTTTGTTTTTTTTATTTTTTTTTTGTCGCGCCGAACTCAATTGATTCATAAGTCGAGCTGTTCATGTGCTAAATTAAAACTATTTGGTTCGGCGCGACGTTGGCTCGACGTATCAGCCGGGCCTTA